TGAAAAACCTAAAAAATATCCAAAACCAAAAAATCTTCACCAATTTGCACGCAAGCCATTCCGTCGTTCTTTTTAGCCTATTCTGTGTAGGTTCTCCTGTTTTCTCCTCTCTACATTTCCAAATCCTCGTTCGAAGAACCGACTGGTCCTTCCTAGTCGAGCAGCCGCCCGATGTTGACTGGACGGTGTTTGTCACCGAATTCACTAGTGCCAAATGCACCAGAAAGCGAAGTCTTTCGCTAGAAGAAAAGGCAGTCCTTCCTGAGGAACCTTAAGTGATTCAGCCTGGCGTGCGTACAATGCCTGTCCGAGTTATCAGACCTAGAATCCTTACACAACTCAACAAAACCACTGTGTCAAGTTGATTCGCGAAGGTAAACACCAGCACCAACAAAACTTAGCGGCGAAATTCGGTGCACATGTTAAATTGCTGTGCAGGTACATCAAGGAACTCCACAGAGTGCAGCGCATGATCCCGGTTTTATGTGCAACAGATGGTTTGGTACAGACTACTAGCACAGACTAGACGCGGCCAACATGCTTCGCCAACAGTTCCTCCACACTTTCCAGAGTGAATCATCATCACACCCGCTTTTGACACAGCTCCCACCGTCACCAGGGCTAAACCACGTGTCGTTCACGGTAGCCAATGTGATAAAAATGCTACCGTCCCTGCGCATGCCCAGCTCACCTAGCGTGGACGACATCAGAACGAAGGCATTGAAGACAGCCGTCATGAACATTGCAGAACGATGAGAGCGGTTCTTTCAACGATGTATTGATGAAATGCGGGTTCCTACTAGGTGGAAACAAGGAACAATCAGTCCTGTTTGCGAGATTGGGAATTTTGCGGATCACACGAACTACCGTCCAGTCGTACCTCTCCCGGAGTCATCCAGAGTGATGGGGAGTATAATCGCAGAGGCCCTCATAAGACACCTTGAGAGTAACAACTTCATAGCGTCACAGCAGCACGGATTTCGCCGAAAGTAATGTTGCACTACAAACTTGCCTATGGCCCGAGCAAGCTGGACAGAATCAATAGATTCTAGAGTAAGAGTGGATGTCAACTACCTGGATTTCTTTAAGGCGTTCGATCGTTTGGACCACCACATTCTCCGTCACAAGCTTCGAAGCTTTGGAATCGGTGACTCTTTGCTGGGTTAAGTAAACAAATTCCTTATTCATCGTCAGCTGAACGTTAGAGTCTGCAGCTCCATTTCAGCTTCCGTTGACATGCAGGGTGGTATGCCCCAAGGATCCTTACTGGGACACGGCTATTCTTACTAGTTATTAAAGATCTTGTTAGTGTATTCCAGTAACATTTTACTATTTGCCGTCCATGTCAAAAGCTGGCATGATATGCAGACAGTGGACGATCACAAGGCACTGCAGAGCGATCTCGTACAGGGTTATGCTTGGTCATCCGAAAACCTGCTCTTGTTTAACTTGACAAAATACAAAGTCGTGAGCATATGCCATTAGCTAAGCAATGACTATGGACTTGGTACCCAACCGTTGCAAAGTGCTTCCTAGGAATGGGACCTCGGGGTAATCATGCAGGATGATCTTGGCTACCCGAGACAGGCGGAAAAGGCATCCAAGAGGGCCAGCCAATATATTGGACTCTTACGGAGAGCCTTCGGAATTTTCTGGCAATCAATCACCCCGCAAATGCTAAAAATGTTAACGTAAAGCGCGATGTAGAATACGCGATCGAGGTTTGGCGTCCCTGGCGCAAATGCGACGTCAACGCAAATGAAGCGCCCCAAAGTAAAGGGACCAAACTCGTCAAAGGACTGTTTCACCTTTCCTACCACCACAGGCTGCAGGCCCTGAGATGGTGCATTGGTGTATATCGACGGCAGCGAGATCTCATCATGGTTTACTTAATACTGACGAACCTAATTCCCACTTGTCGCGGACTGTTGCAGCTGTGCCGGAATACCAAACTGAGAGGCCGCCAGCTCAAACTGGCGATGCACTGCAGGTGAATTGATCGTCGACAAAACGTTTTTTTCTTTCCTGTGTTCCAAACCTGGAAGGTCCTTCCAACTCACGTGATCCTTGCCCCTACCTTAGCGCTTTTCTAAAAACGTCTTGATTACACGCTTTCCAACTTGCAAAACTGATATAGTCCACTTCTCCCTGAAGACGAAATAAATGCAAACCAAACAATGTGTTTAGCAGTCCTCTTCTCAACCTGGCCGTCCGGATACGTGCATAAGTGTCATTGTGAATTGCTTGATGAACGTGAAGTCAAGTAACGTATCATATCAGTCAACTGAAGCGACACACGAGTGAGAGTTATCATTTCCGTTTTTGTTTTATCTCACTGAGTACGTGAAATCTAACTGCTCACCATACTAACTTGTGTGTGCGCACTACATTCCCATTTCATACTATCGATATGCAGCAGTGCAGTTAAATCGATAGACCCTTAGAGTGACGATTTATTATTCTTGGATCTTTTTAATTTTAATATTCATCCCCTTTTATACCCGTGATACATTGGTCATCGTTCATTGTTCGATCGACTGGCCCTCACGAGCCACGTTTACCGGAATCGTCGCAGTCACGAGGATTCGGACGCGAACGCAGATCGCTTCCTTTTGGGACCAGAGTCGTTATGGCACGGGGCGTGGTGTGGCAAGGGAAGACGTCACCCCCAAATGCACCGTTTGGAAGCGAAGGTTGAGGTCCTGTCGGCCTGTTTTGGGTCTAGCCAGTTATTTTGAAAGCCGACAAGCTCACTCCAACGGCTCGCCGAAACTCACCGTGCCCAGCAATCAATCAGTGGTAAATAACAAACGGTTCAGCGGACTCCGACCTCCGGCGAACCCGCACTTGACACCAACGTTTACGCATTCTTACTCGGCACGATTTTGCCCTGTGAACCTTTATGTATCCGCCATTTTCGACATCGAAGGCTTCCTATATTCAGCCTTCTAGGGGCGAGCTCTGCTGTGTCCAAGAGGATAACTACTATCTTTTACGTACTGTTTCATTAGTGAACAATTGTACATTATTCTTTCATTTTTAATATTCCTTACATCCGGCTCGACACTCGACTGCTCTCTAACTTGTCGCGCTAGTGTCTCGCTTCTGTCTCGCTTAATCCATCCACATATTGTAGCCCATCGAATAAGGTCCACTGTGTCCGACTTCAATTGCCTTCTGATAGCCGCGCTTGATTACGTGCATCTTCTCGGACTATTATTTACTAGCCCTACCCTCATGGATATGGCTAGAATAAAATGTTTCACCCGATGTAGGTAGTCATGCAGCCGTGTGCGCTGGTTCAAACAAATCTGGAGCATTATGCACGACACCAGTGAGCCATAAAATGGAGAATCACTGCTGTTGGAGACTTGTGCAGTATTTGCATGTTTTATCTAGTGAGACACAGATAAGTGCTGAGGCTGATGATGAATTCAAGCCAAATTACTCCACCTTTTACAGTGAAGCTTGTTAACCTGTACGTAAATTCATACAGCCTAGACTGAGCTAAGGTAACGGTCCTGAGTTCTTTAATAGTACGTAGAAAATAATCCATTTTCGGTGTTTGGCAACACATATCTACCTTTCCGTTAGTGTTGGCGTATGGGTTACTATTGAAACGAGATTTAGAGTTTTCGATTCTTTCATGTTTTCGATGTTAACAGTCGGGACCTAAATACCTGATTCTCCAGAAACAACCTACAATGTAACGAAAGGTAGGTAATCAGTGATCAATTTTAATAAGCTTCAATGATAGAGACGCTTTTTAAACCGCTGTTGAACTACTTTGCATTTGTCCTACTAAGCATGGTTTCTGTCAGGATGGATATCAGTTCTTCAATTCTAATGAGTTTTGGATAGCGGGATTGACTTTTACGACGGATATTTTAGACACAAATTGTCCTTTCGTCCAGATCACATGCCGTGAGCGGCTGCCACATTTGACCTAGTAGAACACCAATCCACTAGTAAATGCGGCTTTTTGTGCATCAAACAAAAAGTTCATCTTCTAATTCCAAACGGGAAAATTAGAAGACGTAGATCGTACATGTGATAGGTAATGTTTAGCTTGTGTATTAGATTACAACCGCATGTCCTGTAAGATTATGAACAAGTACACTAGCCAATCTTACTTTAGAGAAGAGTAGTAGGGGGACTTGAATGGTATAGGTAGCAATTTGTCACATCTAGATTCACTCAGACAGCCGCCACACGCCCGGAAAAGCACTGTACGCGCGCTTCATCCTTTCGGGAATCACCAACAGTGCGCATTTCATCGGACCCCTGGTAGGGCTCGAACCCGCAACTCGACTGTTGCCAGTCCGTGGTTGATACCACTGAGCTACGGGGGACGGCAACGAACATCGTGAATAAGTTACTAGATGTAATATAGCACCACTCACTATCCACTGACTTACAAGTTACTGCCGTGCAGAGGACCAGGGATCCGATGGAATGCGCACTGCTGATTATTCCCGAAAGGATGAAACGCGCGTGCAGTGCTTTTCCGGGCGTGTGGCGGCTGTCTGATTGAGTCGAGATGTGACGAATTTCTACCTATACTAACCTTACTTTGTTATTTTAGATGTGAGGGATAAATATTACAACACGCGACAACATTGTGTGACTCGAGATAATCGGTGAAGTTTTGAATCTGCTGGAAGACATTTGTTGTTAAATTTTTAGTTGCAAGTACAGTCTATAAAATTAGACACACCCGAAATGTTTTACCATCAGTCGCCTAGCGAAAATGCTCATACATTAATAATATACCAATCATCCGGGGGACTAAAGCATAAAAATGCTATTGACAAGCTGTTTTGAAGCTTCCGAACCTGTTTTCTACAAAGTTGGTACACACATTCGTTTAAATATCAATTAGTAGCAAACACTATCAAGAATGAAATCTTTCGGATTATTAGTATTTTGTATATTCTGTCCCAGTCAAATTGCAAGTAAAATAACATATTACCGTTAAGTAATGATAGCCGAATACCTACCTTTTTCTACCAATCGATCCATCGAGTCTTTTCGAAGAGCGACGCAGTGGGGCAGTCCCGCATTCAAGGACGTATCAATGTGCATCCGCGCATCCAATTCGGTCATTTTTTCCAATTCCGTATTATTGATATGCAATTGGACTTCTTGTAAGCTCTGTACATTAATCACCTTGCTTGGGTTGGGTGAGTGACATGTATAGGAACCAAAGACCGCAGTGGTAATATTAAATCTCCTTGTGAACTGAGGAAAGCATTTGTAACAATTGGATAATGTAGCTTGGTGACTATCATTGTTAAAATAATCAAATTAACGCAGCCGCTACCGGAACGATGTGTGACGAAGAGAATGGTTGCTACAAGCACAATATGGATGGTTTATTCTGGAGTAAGGTAAGGTAGATGTGGTTGAGTCGCATTCCCTACAAGTGTTGGTACCTCGCACAAAATTCGAAACGGAAACCCACGGTAATTTTTGTCTACATTTACACCGAAATACGATTATTAGCAATCCCTACGTATGGAACCCTTTCCTGAATATTAGTAATGCATTGCACCCAGCACTGTAAATGTGGGATGAGCATAGAATCAGGCGACAAATAAAACTAGAGATCAGACGCGATGTCCAACGTCTAAAATCAGGTGGGTCTTTGAAGCGTAGGTAAATCAATGGCAGGTGTGAATCAACTCTACGGCAGAAAGTGCGCTGGTGAAAGTTGAATACTGTTTTACCTCATAAATAACTAAGAACGTGGAAACCCAAGCATTTCTACACTGTTAGTTTTTTCTGGGGTAACTAGCTGTGTCATCTGAAATGTGAGCGCAATCGACCGCCTTGAGGCTGCATGGGAGAAAGCACAATCCATTTAAATGTGGAATCATGTGGAAATATGCCTTTGCCGTCCTAAGGATTGTAGTGCCATAGGACAATTGTTCTTGTTGTTGGGAATGAGCACAGTATGCCTAAATAAAGCCGAATCAACAGAGCAAATTTACCGCCAATAGGGATTTATACATAATGGACTACACGTTTGAGGAGTTTATTCCGCAAGGTCAACTCTGAAGTGGCTACAGCTGTAAAAGCTACTTTTGAGCTCGTGGAAAAATAATTGGTTATGATTCTTTCACGCAAATGCAACGGGTACATTGCTGTTTTCTAAATAGTTTATCATTCATGGCAGTGTATAGCTTCCCGTGATTCGAACAGGCTGTGGGGGTGTGCATAACCAATAGAACAAATGACAACCTGAAAAAAGAAGCGATTCATATAATTGCACACGATATAAATTTCACTACTGCTTCTGATTACGCTCGTCCATGGTTTCCGAACAAAAATGGAAAGTTGAACAGTTTGCACGTATAACATGCGCTATCAAATCCGTGACAAAAGGAAACTATAGAGGAAATGGCACTGTGGAACATACGGCGTTGCACGCATTTTCAAAGTGAGCTCTACGAGCGAAAGCCACATAAACAGCTGCAATGTAAAACATACGGTAGAAGAAAAGCATGTATTTGTGAAGGTCAAGTTTAGAGCATGACAATTGTCTAGACTGAAATTAACAATTGATTGTTTTGCATCTGCATACATTTGTTTCGCCTCATCGGGTATCCTTCAAAACTAGCACACTTTATTCGTAATACCGCATTTTGAGAATACATTGTTGTCAAACGATTGTGCACTACTAGCATTCACCACTATTCGTTAGCAAATTTAATAAAAAGCACACAATCAAGTAGTCGGATTTATAAGATTTTCTCTTCTTCATTTAGAGAATACATGCCAGAAGCGGAACAACCAGGATATTTAGACCCCCGTATGCTTAATCCAAATTTGTTCGATTACACATAGTTGTCCGAACAGATAGAAAGACTATTTTGTGTTTTCGCTTGTGCTCATCCAAAACTGTTGGCTTACGTTTGGACAGGTCCAACCTCAAGACAAACCATACATGTATCACAGTTTGCAACCAGTCGGTAAATGCGCTTACGGTTAAAGAAAAATGACATTCCGGTGAATAAAATGGACAGCGAATTATGTGTTCTCGAGCCCGTTCAAATGTAATCATTAATGGTGTAACTTAAGGAAATCTTGGTAGCCCCAAGAAACTTGAAGATGGTTTTATCAGCCAACTTTAAACATGTTGAAAATTCACAAGCTGTACATCCGTTAGTAAGCTTAATGATCTACTTAGCGATAAGTTGACACCTTTCTCGTGTGTTGAAGATGCGATTAATGCTGATGTTAAAGTTCGTCGCAGCAACTAGCGCACAGACAGGTTAAACTGAATTGGGGGTATATAGGTATAAAATGTCGGTGGTTAAAAAGTGGGTTATTGTACAAGAAATTTTAATCGTCTTTTGCACCGAATCTAAAGGTTTATGTTGCAGAAACTAACGTTGCTTCCAAGACAACCTTCCTTTAATGTACTCCGATGTAACTTACTAAGAAGTACAGAAAAAGTTCGAGTTGTACTTAGCCGCAATAATTTCAACACAGTGTTACTACTTGCCAATATACTTTTGAGTTCAGTTTAGAATGATACATTCGTGTGCGCCTGTCCGCCATAATCCACAATGCACTTTTATCCAAAGAATGGATCAGGGCTCAAATTTGGTATAGGTTTTGGAGTAGTTTTATTGTATTCAGATGCTTTTACAATCAACAAAGCTGATATTTCAGTTATGCAGATAGAGCTACCAATTCATCTGGTGCATGCTTCTAATCGCTTTGGGTATCCATGATCCGGAATTGTAGTTAAATCGGCCAATGTCTAATAGCATTAACCATCCTAGTCCGATCTGATAAATATATCTTTGTAGTCCTTAGGTGGACACTTCAGTATGGGTTAGCAGCAAGCACAAAACTCCGTGTTGGCATTTCGTGGACAGTTCTGACTATATTGGCTACGAACGGTAGCTATCAGATCAAAATACCTTTTATTTACATTTATATTTAAGTTTACCTTTATATAATGTCTAACAAAACGTTGAGACCAATATTATTTGAACCCATAAGTAGGAAGTTTATCGCCAGGGAGCCCAGTTGGATAAGTAAATGCGATCGAACGAAGCAGAGTCTAGTGGTTTCTGTGGCACCATCAAGGATGCGAAATGATGAGTTGATTGTTACTTTCGGCTTGACCAGATGACAGGGTAATATGTGTGTTCGAGTAAGAGAGATGGCAGTCAGTATTTAAAGCCAATTAGTTATCAAACCGGTGCCAAACGACCGAGTAACATAGGAACTACATGGTTTTTCATATCAAGCTTCAGTTGTTCCACCACCACACAAATTTTATACGATAAATTATTTGAAAACTCAACATGCGGGCACTTACTTTTAACTTTTCCAGGGATGGCTTCGAAGCTTTTAGTGACAGATGCACATTTTAATGGATTAGCGTTTAGCTTGTGTCTTAAAAGATGTATGAACTGATTGTTCCCCTCCACTTTCGATAGATCAACATTTTGAAGTGTTTTCAGCTTCAGTAAAAATCGGCGTGATTGTAAGCTGCCCAGTTTCCTTGGTATGGGAATGATAGTGCATTCAGAAAGATTTTGAAGCGCAAAGGTTCCTTCAACGAGCTCTATTAACTTGAGTGATAGAAAGATAGAGAAAATGATTTGTCTCCTATTCATTATCGGGTGCTTACTTTTTATCACACAAAATATGGTGCTAGGTATTTTGGACCATCACTGTGCAATAACACTATATTACGGTTTGCTAATTAATACATCTGATACTCTTAATAGCATGTTTATTGTGAAAAACTCAATGCATCTACCGTGGTGCTTTGGCACATCTGGACACATGTCATCTCTGCAATCGCTACTACTTTAATTAACCAGATCAAAAATATAAAGATCACTGCCCTTAACAGATCGCTTGTTGCGGCTCAGCTAAAACGTACGTCCCATCGAGTAGTCGTTCAGGCGGTAGGTTTTATAAGAGTGCTATCAGAGCCAGTAACCGAAGCTACGTTACCAAGACATGATCAAAGTGAGCCTATCAAGTTCTAAAGTTGATCTCAAATGTTGGGAATCGAAGGCGGTTGATCGGCGTACATGGCGCGATCTGATCACGAAGGCAGTTGTCGCGATGCCAGCAGAAATGAGGCGGCAGTTGCGGAAGCGGCAGTTAGGGTGACGCTATCGACAATAGCGCATGGTGCTGTAGCACGTGCGGTCGCGATTGCCTGAGTCAGGCAAGCCTAGTGAGCCATGAGCGAGGCCACTCGGGACCGGCATCGAAAAGAAGACCGGTGCCGCAGAGAACGTACGCCGAACCAGCACAGTGTTGGTAGGTAAGCTACATTCGATTTCCTAACCGCGCGATTAGGTGATGAGTTTTTAATTTCAGGTGATGGTTTTGCTATTGTGTCCCAATGCATTTGTTTACCTCAACGTTTACATGAATAAGCTTCTATTAACTTGAACACGTCGCTTAAGCTAAGTGTGTTGAAGTTCGCTAACTTTTTCGAGTTTGCGGCATTAACAAAAATCTTTCCTGGCATCTTGCACTTATTGCGGCTCTTTATATATAACCAATTTAATACATACGCTCATCTAACGTAGAATTATGTACGCATTTCCCTATGCCTAATTCTCTTTTACTATATAATTTGTGATTCCCAATTCAAGTGATTGGATATTGTTTGATATCCCCGGTGTGGCCGCGCTTGATGTGCATGTTGACAAGGTGCCTACCTGTCTATTACCCACTACCTCGTCCATACTGGCTCCAGGAGACAGTTGGTCGTTGCTGGAGGGGACAGGGTGCACGGTCCTTGTGGCCGTGCAAGGCTCGATTGTTGGTTGCATGTACTCAGTTTGGAGCGGTATACGGTTCAGCCACCGCCTCATGTGTGTTTGATTCTCCAACAACAGCGTGTTTGCTTGTGAATGACTGTGGGCCGCTCCGTTGATGAAACCTGGCTCCCATCCACATGTCTCCAGGTCTTATTCCTTTGGGTCCACACCGGATTTGGGTGGGTGGATGGAGCTGGGGGTGATGCAGCGCTAGCCACTCATGGTCGCTCTGTAGGCGCAGGCGTCCTATGGCAGTCCCCGAGAAAGCCACAGTGACAGGCAAAACCGGAACCGGATGCGGCCAACCATCACAGCCAGTATGCCCGTGGCTATCCTATGCATAAATATCTGCCATCAATTTGTATCGTTAAGTGGCAGGTAAACTAATAAATATTTTCTGGTCGTTTCAGATAGGCAATCTGGTATGTCGTTCCAAGCAACACATATATTTACATTTCTGAGGATATCTTGCATTTATTCAGTTTCTTACGTCTGAATATGCACGCTATCTTGCACACTGTGGTAAGACATTTTCTTGGGAAAATGAAAATCCTTAGAATCGGATTTATGCATATTATCTTATGTGATGTAAGTTGTGTGCTCGAAAGTTGCTGATCTCATTCACTGCATTAGAGTTGAAGATAATGGTTAGCGATGGCGATGCAGTGATCACCTGGAATGGACTAGCAAAGTGCGCCCTAAGAACACTTCGTTTCCTCGACTTCGTTGGCAAATTAGCGTTCAGCGAACTACAACAAACTAAATGACACCAGTAAGTTCCGGTATAGTGGTAAGAACCGCCATTTAAGAGCATGGGCCTAAATAGCGCACCACACAAAACATGGCTTAGTCTGAGAAACAACACTACTAGTCTGGCGGCGAGACTATTAAAACAGCCGTGCCTTTTTCACGGAACATCGTTATTACAATATCGCTATGGATACATTAGTTTTCTCGGTGTATTTCAACATTGACCTTTGTCAAACTATTTCCAAGGTCACCACTGTTGTCCGTCTCTTACGTACTGGAGATAGCTTAAGATGCTGCACCCTTGAACCTGGACTGTACCGATTGGAAATCTAGCTTACAACGTTGGCCTGTCAATAGTATGCAGCTTCAGATTATTTTGTCCGGAAATGTTTGTTTGTTGCTCGATTATACTGAACGTAAATTCAAATGACACCTACATACAATGTCCTTTTTCCATGAATATAAATGTTCAGTTCTGCTAATGTAATCTTAGCCCATCCGTAGTCGACATTGTAAAGTGCTGAAAATATACCCATCTGGATATATAGAGCTTATATTGACTTGACTTGAACTATATTTCAATGAAGTGCTGGCGGTCGAAACCTTTAAGCAGGAATATTAAAGGAATTTGCATTCCTTTTGTGAAGGCTAAATAAAAAAACAGCGAAGCTAAAGTTTTGTGGCCGTTGCGCCATATATCTTGCGCGCATGTATGATGATTGCGCAAGTGTTGGTGATGAGCGGTTTCTAAACAAAAGACCTGGATTAAAAAGGACATATTATAAAAATTTTGCTATTGGAATCGGTTTTAGTAGGTAAGGATACAAGTACACGCAAACAGGGATGGACTGAATACCCATGTTTAGACATATCTAAAAGAAATGGAACTCACGCAACGAAGCATAAAATCAGACAAATTTTGCTTAATAAATGGTGCAAATAAATTAAATTTCTTAATAAGATAATGAGAAGACTGGTATTGGGAGATGGAACCATTTCGTGTTATCTGCTCACTCGCAAACTAACTACCTAAATATGAATCACGTGACAGCAAGATAGAAGGTTTGAAACTGATCACAAATAAAAATTATGTAGACACAAGACTAACAGATCAACGAGCTTGCACTTAGAGTCATGAGCCCCAAGGAAGCTTTAGGGAGACTGTTGATTGTTTCTGTACACAAAGGATAGGGCGATGCCGGTTAAGTGCCACAGCTTCGGCAAACCTCAAAAGTTTGGGGTTTTCATCTCGATAGATAACTGTAAATGTTGACCCAAGGTCAAGCTGATGGCCTGTTTCGATTAGATGTCTGGCGATAGATGATACCGGTAGCTTAGATACTTTTTCTTGTTCGGCTGCTTTTTGTGTCGACAGTTTAGCAATCCGTTTAGGGATATGCTCACCAATGCATTTACCCAGGGACCGCCAGATATCTAATCGAAACAGGCCATCAGGTTGACCCTGGGTCAACCTTGACAGTTAGCTAACGATTTGAAGACCCCAAAACTTTGAGGTTTGCCAAAGCTGTGGCACTTAACCGGCATCGCCCTATCCTTTGTATACATAAACAATTAACAGTCTCCCTAAAGCTTCCTTGGGACTCATGACCCTAAGGGCAAGCTCGTTGATCTATTAGTCTTGGGTCTACGTAATTTTTCTTTGTGACCAGTTTTAAGCCTTCTATCTTGCTATCACGTGATTCATATTTAGGTAGTTAGTTTGCAAGTGAGCAGATAAGACGAAATGGTTCCATCTCGCTGTACCGGTCTTCAAAGTCTTATTTAGAATAATAAAGAGAACTCAGTGTTTTAAACTAAATTTCATAATTGTAAAACCTGTGGCAGCCTAAAACTGATAACCCTAAAAATCAACCCCAAATTCCCCAACATCTTGTTGCATTCATAGGTTTTAGAAGATTCGCACGCAATTGTTTCTGTTTACTTATGCCCCACTACTTTATTGTTATTTGCAGAGGAACGTCTATAACACATCCACAAAATTGCAATCAACCGTTTTTTACTTATTGGACGCTCTCCATTCGTTGCTGCGGCATTTGTGTTAGCAACGATGGGTTATCAAAACAAATAATTGCAAACAAAAATAATAATTGATGGATCACTGTAAGCATAAAATTTCAGCTTCTCATGTCTAGGTTCATGCTGTCTTAGTAGAAGCTGCCAGAAATTCTCCTGCATTGTCAGCTTTCAAGTGGTTCGTTGCCACTTAGTAGGAGGAAGGCATTTGCAAGTTGATTAACATGTCCTACAGTAGCTGATGAAGCACAGTCTTCGCAGAATCAGCTACACCAGACTGACAGATTCCAACGTTCGACGACCATAATGAATCACTACATGTCCCCGCCGTCTGTTTGCATTTTCCGTCTGGAAAAGGCTTGATTCGACGCTTCTTTCCAGCCTATCCCTTTAAAAAGCTGCTCAGGTCATTCTTGAGGAACAAGTTTCCCGTACTACCCGTCATTGTGGTCGCGGATAGAGCATCAAACCAGACAGCGTTTTTCACAATAGCCTGAGTTTATGCCTAGTCGTCGTATGCGGATTTATACACTCTACTATGTAACATTTGGCTGATAATCCTCTCATTTACATTTACAAGCCGCGTTGTTTTAAAGTTGTTGTCGAATTGCTACTAAGCAACTTCATTTTGCGGCTAGGTAAAATCTTTCATAAAATTTACCCCACTGTGGCTGATGTCTGTGTGGCTGTAAATGTTCAGAGCAGAATATTGCAACGAATTTCGATAAAACACGAGAATACGCCAAGTATACCATCTTTTTATAACGATACATTTGTTAACTCCACCAAGTGAATCAAGTGAGGTTATGAAATAATCGGCTATTTCACACCAAGTTTGCGTTACCATGCTTTTATCTAGGCTATCTATCCATTGTGAAGTAGTATGAGTGCTGGAATCGGTCATTGATGATACATTTTAATCCCCCCAAAGCCAAAAACAAAGAACATATAAAAATTACCACAAAAATCATATGAATAGTTGACTCATTTTGATAAACCATGCAGATGAGAGGCCATTTCCCGGTCCCCCCCTAGTTAACTTGAGCAGTAGCAACATCAATACTTTCATGAATGAAAGCTGTTACTTAATACAAAATCTATAACGTAGTTGTCTGTCAATCGAGGTGAGCGTTAAATAACATGAAACGTTATACGAATTTACTCGATAAATTCTTGTTCCTCCTACTTATTATGCAAGCTTCAGTGTCAAGTTAGTAGAACCATTAATGTAAAAATGCTCTCCTCTCCGTAACTGTAACACAATGAAAATCTCTTTCCTGCGTTAATACTGGGATGTTACAAGTACGACCCCTTTAGCAAACTTCTACATGCTAGTTCTAATCGCATTGTAGAAGAGCAAATAGAAGGTGACAGTCAACCAAACCTGTTTTCATTAGGGTCTAACGTTGTCTAAGTTTAGCGTGTGAGTTCGAAGCCGGCCGATTTGGCAGCTAGTTAGCCAACTTGGTTTGCCAACAATAAGTATGAGCTGCGTTGCCAACAGATGAACTAAGTACAAAACAACTAATGCCACGAGGTTTTCGAGTAAAGGAATTCTACTTCTTCTTCTTAGTTACTGGGGAACCGCCGCATGAAAGGAAAATGTCTCAATCTTCCCTGATGCCAAGGCGCCAATAGCCGCACTACTGTTACAAAACTTATCGGATCGCTTACAGTATGATCGATTGATTATCTCATCAGCTGTAACAGTGACCTGCCTGTTGCGTTGGTTATGCAGCCCGTTGACTGAAGCTATAGGCTTGACATTGTCAAGTATAATAGTCAGCGTGTTCCCGTAGTTCGCTTTTCTTTTGGAAATTACACAAAGAAAAACAGGGAATTTTCACCGGTTCATGCCAAAATATCAATACATGAATATATGAAGATATGTTTATAAATTGGTACCTACCAACCTGTGAGCACCTTCACATTCTACTCCATGCAGAACACGCGTAGTGCGTAACTCACTTAGACCAGCCTGGCGAATGGTGACGTAGTCGAGTAGGTGAATGACCAATCCGTAAGTATGCCTAAGTGGCCATATCAGCCACAGTAAGTAAAAATTGTGTATTTGTGATCGAAGAGCCATGAGTAGCATACAGGGCGAGCAGATGTCGATGGTTCCCAATGGGTACGATCAAATTACTCAACTTGATTTAGTTTGTTCACATAATGGCACCACGTCCAACGCATGCATAGAAATCACCTGTTAGGAATAGCCGGTCGCCAATTTGATGCCGATAGCGGGACCTTTATATCGGCCGTTGCCTTTTACTTCTAATATCATTTTTTACATTATCTACTGTATATATCTCAGTTTTACAAGGTCAATCCGACAGATATTTCATTCAATCCGGTTTCAAGATAACTGAGACCTTCTACTGCATCCACTTTTGAATATATAGCGAGATATCGCGCAGGATCCCCCGGCTTTTATCTTTGGACAAAACAGTTTGCGTCAATTGAAACGAATTCTGCAGTAACATTTTAATGAAAGCGTTTCCGTTTTAAATGCAAACAAATCCCGAAGAGTTGGCTCAGTTTTTTGCTTGTTGCTCGATCAATCTATGGCAGTGCATCCTTCTCATTTTGCGACCCATTTGTAAACTTAACATTTTTAATGGTAACTCTTTGGTAAATGTACAGTTGCTAATATAAAATGCTGGAAATGCACCCTATTTGTGTACTTAAAGCTTAGACTGAGTTGACTTGACTCTTCCGCCAGGACGATATCGTGGAGAACAACTAGGACTAAAACTGATCATCTATGTCACCAGGACAGTGCATGGTGGAACGGTAGTCACTAATGAAATTCTCAGGCTTATTTAATCCAAGGCGAAGGCGAACTGTCATCGTATCGTGTTAATGTCAGGCGTTAATTTTGGTAGTCGGAATTTACAAAACCGACCTCATGCTCAAGTGGTATTGTGGTGGTGTTACCCACCAAGTAGAAGATGTAGCCAGCACATCGTCACGCAATTTCCTTGGTCTACCAGTCGGGTTATATCGATTTCGCTAATTTTAATGTCGTAGCAACCGAGTTCCTTTGCGGCAAATGCACTGCGTCTTTGTTGTCCCGCTTCACACTTGTTGATATAGTTCGAAATCAGTTGTAGTTGTTCTTGCCATGATTTTAGCTTTTACCGGGAAACTGCCAGTGCGTCTGCACTAGAGTAAAGGAACGACTCAGATCCTCTGTGGAAATCCTCAATAAAATGTACTCCCGAAAGGATGCACGGAAGGCGCTATGAGTCAGTCGTTTGACTTGGATGTCTCCTGGCTCTTAGCTTGAAGAAGTAATATCCCTAAGCTTAATCGCGAAGAAGAGGCGTTCTAGACGTGTGACAGTGGCAGATCCAGTACAGTGAGCTAGTACATTATCAAGATCATGTCCTTACAAGCCACAACGAGCTTTGAACTCTCCTGTCTTTCACAAATGTTTATCGGGAACTGTCGTATCAAACATCAGCTTCATATTTATGTAAGCACTGAAAAATTTAGAAAAAATGTTCATTTTCAGCCAGCGATTGCTAGACGGAGACAAATAAATGGATTAACAGCATTCATGAAGGGCAAATGGTACCTTACTTGGAAATAGAGGACGAACGGACTAGTCCGTGCTAGTTAAGAGCGAAGAATTATGTGCACTGCACCCTTGTTAGATGAAAAGAATTCCGGGTTGCTTTTGTAGGGCATATAAAGCAAAAACGTTCAGCTCTGCTCATATTTTACCGACAGGTCCCATATTGTTCATTGTCTGATTCACAAAGGTATTCATAAACAGGACATGTACGCCACATTTATAAATATAGAAGACCGAAAGTAGATCACTAATTCTTTACTCCTTGGGGACTTACGCTGGAACAGTTGAACGAAGTTGCATCACTACTGTTGTAGGCGTGGTCCAATTCTATACTGAACAAAGGATCTAGAAGTAGAGCGAATAGCATTTAGGACAATCACAGAAAAGTGAGTTATCCTGAGATTATGAGCAAGCATGGGACAGAATTAACGACACGTTACTGAAATAGTGGCCAAGCTTTTATTCCTACTATTGTGAAATATAGAAGTAAACGAACTAGTGCTTAGATTTCCAGTGTGATGTGAGAAATAGCTTCCATAGGTTCATAGCGTTGTAGAGAGCAGTAAGGAAAAGACTCGTGTCAGCTCCTTCACCTCCCATTCACTGGGTGAATGTTGCGCGTCCTTGAAAGCCTGTATTCACCAAGGGATCAATACAGCTGCAGCAAAATCAGTGGAATCCGATCGTTCTCTGTATGTAGTTATCCAACCGGTGTTTGAAAAATTCATCCGACTGGGCACTGACAACATATTTCGGGGGTTGTTCTATTGATTCACGACCCGAGTGGAAATGGTGATGTTGGAGCGGACCTGGAACCTCCGCGGTTTAAAATAGTTTTCAACTGTGACCCCGTCTCGAGTTATCCACATTGAGTTGGAAGAACTCTTGCACCTTCTACCCCAAGTCTCATTTTAGGATACGTCTTGTGTATATCAGACCCCCACGACGATGCCGATAGTCCAAACAGAACAAGTTCATATGCCGAAGTCGAAGAGGATAAGACAACCACACAGCACCGATACAGACTTGCGTCACGCTACTGAACCTTCTCGATCAGAACGCAGTCAAAGTTTGTGTAAAGCAGGTAGTCCATATTCCAATATTGGACGGACGTGGAAATGAAACAGAAGCTTGACAATCTCAGGCGTCTTTTGTGAAAATAACTTCCTTATGGCGCAGAGTACCCTGTTGGCGGAGGCGGGTTCCCGCAACGTATCCGGGATGGTTTTCAAGTTAGGGGATACAATCACATCCAAGCTCTTCTCAGAAGCCGCGTGGCTCAGCAGGAAGCCACCGATGTGGTGGACGCCGAGAGGTTCTGGAGAACCGGTTGGAAGAACACAGTCTTTGTCATGGTAGATAGGTAACTGCTACTTCCCAGACCAGCCGTGCAGCAAATCAAGCGTCAGTTGTAATTTGTCCGAATCTTCAAGCCTGGATGCGTCTGCCCATAATTTGAGATGATCTGCGTAGATCAAGCAGTCAGTATCTGGTACCTCTGGAAGGTCGTTGATGAAGATTTCGAAAAGTTTGGGACTAAGGACGGAGCCCTGTGGAATACCACTGGTCATGAGAATAGGCCCAGAGAGAGCATCATCGACATTCACTCTCATAATATGACGATCCAGGAAATCAGTTATCCAGGGAAGTACAATGCAAGCGATGTCAAGGTGCCAGAGCTCGATAAGAAGCCCTTCATGTGAAACCATATCAACTGCCTTGATGAAATCAACAAGAACAACATCTAGGCGATTACCAGAATCTACCGACGTTGCCTAATTTTCGCTGGCAATAAATAGGTTGGAAATACAAGTGCTTGCCCTACGGAAACCGTGCTGAACGGGAGTAATGACGTCTTGAGTCACGGCATGAAGCCGAAGGGCTCCTTTAAAATCCTTCACATTGTCTTGTATATGATCGACGTCAGACAGATCGGTCTGTAATTTGCAGGATCCTCTCGGTTTCCTCCTTTGTGGATTGGCGTCACAATACCTACTGTCTAAACAAGCGGAAGGCGACCAGCCCCTAGGGCCTACCTAATCAACTGGCAGATTGGTTTAGCTACGTACTCAGCCGCTGTCAGAAGGAACCGTGGAATCGTGGGCCTGGCGAAGAGTTCGAATCCAACTCAAGAAGAATTCTCAACACAATGTTGGTGTTAATTTCTATGTGCTCCAAGGCAGTGGGATGCGTGGGCACATAGCTATTGAATACCGGTTTCAACCAAGTACACTGATGAATATTGCAAAGCAAGGAGACCGCATCCCGCTTCATCGTCATGAAGTATTGTTTCATCCTGTCGCGACTACAAGGCAGGTATGCCACAACACACTTTAGTACTTCGTTTCAGGTACAAGCATAGTTTTTCGGGTTATTACAAGATTGCTCAGCTAGACGAGGCTCATACTGTTCCAACTTTTCGCGTCTTTTCAGTACATACAACTTCCTTAGCACTTTGTAGTCATAATAATCAGAGGCCAAAGGTGAGAACTGGTATCTGTCCCACAGTGTTCGTCATTTCTACTGTAAGAGGCGCAGTTCGTTATCAATCCAAGGAGGGCCTTTAGAGGAAAGTCTGTCAGGAAAGTTTGGTACAAGTTACTCGATCCTCGAGAGCAAGTAAAAGCGAAGGGGGTTCCAAGAGGTATCGAGACCCAACTTCTGAGCAGTACTCCAGTCTATAACACTTGCAGCCATTTGTAGGCGGAGTAGATCGGCGGGCCAGTACTTCCAGCAAGCTATGCCCCGGTGGTGTAGGGTTGGTCGTCTTGTCCTTGTAAAGGAAAGCACAGAATGCTCACTTGATCCAAGTGGCTGGTGAATCTCTAGATTAGATACATCGGATTGTTGGGGCGTGAACACGAGGTTGAGGATATGTGGCGTTTGGCCCGAAATTATCTGAGTAGATGAGGAAACAAGTTGAGTTAGATCCACGTCGAGGACAGTTTCCTGTAGAACAGCATCGGAGGATTCTAGGGCGAAATCACAGTGAAGTAGATACCAGTTGACTTTAGGGACAATGAAATCTCCATTTATTAAGCAATCCTTGCCTCTGCCGTGCATTTTGCTCGAGTCCAGCAATTGGGATCCGGAGGCGATTAGGGATTTGTAGACAACACAAACAATGAGCCGAGAGTGTCCGTCATGGACACAAGACCAAAGTATCCCCAAACAACCGACTGTATCACAAACAGCTTCTACGGTATGAACCCTCAAGTAGGACTTCCAGGAGAGTGTGACGCCACCTCCAGATCTCATGCCAAGACAATCAGCCCGAGAAAACTGATAACAAAGGCGTATTTCAGAATCCAGAATATCCGGGGACAACCACGTCTCAGTAAAAGCCATCAGATCAGGATGACACCGTAAAGTAAGAAGACGTATCTCAAGCAATTTATTTCGCAGACTTCGCAGATTGGCGGACATCACACGCAATCCAATCTTAAACCCTAGAGCGTGGGTGCGACAAACAGCGGTCGCCATCGGGCTTTTCGAGTCCATTGAATTACACGAAAATACACAATACGAAGATTAGCTTCACCACTGGCCTGCACTTCATCAACGGCGTTCTTCATCCTCATTCAGCCTACAGGGCAGAGATCCCTCAAGACATGGAAGGTATCTCCCTTAACATGCGAAGTCCGCCCTAGGATGTGGCCATATGAACTTGCATTTTGACAAAAGATTTTCAACGGACGCACTCTGGAACTTTCCTCTTGCTTCCGGCCAAGACGAAAGGCAGAGACGACATTTATTCCCTGTCCCTCTTCTTGGAACAGTAAGGAACTCATTCGCTTAAAGAAAACCTGATCATTCACTATTCTGTCGGTTGGCGTTTCCTTGTTAGGTTCGGGGGCGTTCACAATGATCAGATACTATTCACGAGGAGGAAATCTGTTTCCTTCGGAACGAAGCGACGTTTGTGGGTTTGGGTGTGCCTTAAATAACTCTGCTAGTTGACTCATTTTAAGAACTAGCTTCACTTGGGAACTTGGAGAGTTGTGCTTTATCTTTTAGGCTTGTGCTTCTTTTTCACTTGGACTTTGTGCCCAGAACACTCAGTGTTCCTGTTGCCAAAGTGTTTTGACTCACTAAGGGACACATGCTTTTATCTCACATGGGTTCCGCTGCTCAACCTTCATCAATGGTTCCGGCGATGAAACAGATGAGACTCGACTCCGTTTTCCCTTAGGAGTAGTTGGGCAAGATGCGCCTAGACCTAAAAGTGGGATTTGAGTTGTTTCCTCAGTACGAACCACAGAGTGGACAGGAACGCAAGGTGAACTGAGTGAAGACTGACCGGCCGCGGGACGTTCATACATCAGTATGGCTCGACAAAAGTTAAAAAAGCAGTTGCCAAACAGAGAAGTAGACCGCTGAACACTTTCATACCTCAGTGCATCGATATTACAGCAGGTAATGTGAAGCCATCCATCGCACCAAAAGCATTGAACGGCTTTCGAGTGGGACGTAACCCCTTTACCACACTCCAACCATCTGGAGCCTATTGTGCGTTATATCTGAACAAGTTCAAATATTCAGCGAGAGGCACTTGTAGGAAACGATATCTTATCGCTTCTCTTCACTAGGAATACTTCGGTGGACCGAAATACCCAAAAGAACGTCATTATCCGCAGCGGCAAGGCCGTGGCTTTGGCAATCCAGTAAATTATCATAAAGGATTTTGAGTACAGCAGCTTGGAAATGTTGTACCACGTTCTAAGTACGACGATTGACATATCGGACACATAATATATATAATAATACAGAAATACACTGTTGTTAGTTACTACACATCTCATCGTCAGTGCCTCACGCAACATCATCATGGCCCGATGCGAAGAGAAAAGAAGAAATTGGATGCAGCTTCATCGTCCATCGAATCAGGAAGATCATCTTTCATTAGTTAGGAGTCATGAAAAATATGCAAAAAGCATATTGGACCAACCGTCATTTATTGATTCATATTTTATTTATTTCACCTACTGAGACCCATGTGTGCCACCAATTGTTTGTGCACACTCCAGGAAGAGTACAGGAAGGATACAGTTACCTTGAGAGCGAGGGTACATGCGAGTGCTCGCCATATTTGCACTACGCCACCAATTTCTCATCATAATGGTGGAAAAGAGATAAGCTCACGATCAGCGCACTACGATGGCGCGCGTTTTCCCATCTATCGTATTAGGCTACATTTCTTATCAACTGAATATCCACTCGCTGAAGCTGGCATTTGGGAACGAAACTGCTGCCTATAAAAAATAGCTCAGTCCGTATCCGCCGGCAAGGCCTACAACATAGCTAAGTATGGCTTATCAGCCGGATTTAAAAACTTGCAGATGAAAACGGAACATTAGGATAAACATT